TTGCCGGACACGGAAAAAGACCAAAAAAAAAAAAAATCTGTTGGGGGCCGGCCCGGTGGCGCACTGGATAGTGCGCCACTTGGGAAGCGTGGCGGCGCTCCCGCCCGAGGGTTCGGATCCCACATACAGACCGGTTCCCGCTCACTGGCTGAGCGAGGCGCGGGAGCAACGCCAAGGGTTGCGATCCCGTTGCTGGTCCCGGTCCGGTACGGGGGCAACACTGAGGGTTGCGATCCGTTGCCGGACACGGAAAAAGACCAAAAAAAAAAAAAATCTGTTGGGGGCCGGCCCGGTGGCGCACTGGATAGTGCGCCACTTGGGAAGCGTGGCGGCGCTCCCGCCCGAGGGTTCGGATCCCACATACAGACCGGTTCCCGCTCACTGGCTGAGTGAGGTGCAGGCGCAGCGCCGAGGGTTGCGATCCCATTGCCGGTCCCGGTCCGGTCCGGGCACAATACTGAGGGTTGCGATCCATTGCCGGACACGAAAAAAGACAAAAAGGAAAAAAAAAAATCTGTTGGGATTTTGATTAGGATTATGTTGAATCTACAGATCGATTTGAGAGACTTGACATCTAAACAGTATTGAGGCTTATCCAAGAGAGTGGTGTATCTCTCCACCTATTTAGGTCTTCTATAATTTTTCTTTCCCATGTTTTGCAGTTTTCAGCATAGAGGTCTTGCATAGCTTCAGTTAGATTTATTCCTAGGTCCCTGGTGTTTTTTAATGTTTTGGTATTGATTTTTTAATTTTATTTTCCAGTTGCTAATATAGAAATACAATTGATTTTTAAATATTTGTCTTGTATTCTCAGACCTTGCTAAATTCACTAATTGGCTTTAGTAGATGCCATAGTGTTTCCTACACATGTAATCACGTCCTCTGTGAATAATGACAGTTTACTTCATCCCTATGCTTTTTACGTCTTGTCTTCGTAGTACGTTGGCTAGGCCCTCCAGTACAAGGTTGAATAGAAGTGGTGGAAGTGGACATCTTTGCCTTGTTTTTGATCTTAGGAATAAGGATTTAATAAATAATTCACCATTGGGTATGATGTCAGATGTAGGGTTTTTGTAAATGCTCTTTACCAGACTGAGAAAATTTCTGTCTATTCGTAGTTTGCTGACAATTTAAATCATTGATAGGGGCTTTGAATTTTGTCAAGTGATTTTTCTGTATCTATTGGGGTGATCTGGATTTTTGTCTGTTTTTTGATAACTGGCCAATGCAGGGATCAAACCCTGAACCTTGGTGTTATCACCACCATGCTCTAACCAACTGAGCTAACTGGCCAGCTTTGGGTTTTTGTCTTTCATCCTGTTAATGAGGTGAATTATGTTGATTTTTTAAAGGTTAACCTTTCATATATACTTGATCATGATGTATTATCCCTTTCATATATTGCTGTATTCAATTTGCTGATGTTTTGTGGAGAATGTTATAATTAGGTCTATATTCATGAAGGATATTGGTCTGTAATTTTCTTTTCTCATCATGTTTTAGTTAGGTTTTAGTATCAGTATGATGCTGGCTCCATAATAAGATAAGTTAGAAAGTGTTCTCTTTGACTGTCTTCTGACAGAGTTTATGTAAGATTAATGTTACATCTTCCTTAAATATTTGAAAGAATTCACTAATAAAGCCATTTAGGCCTGGAGCTTTTGGGGGATGTAGGTTTTTAATTGTTTGGAATTTTTATTTCTTCTTATTGTCAGTTTTAGTAAATTATGTTTTTCAAGGATTCTTCTCTATTTCATCTAGGTTGTTGAATTTATTGTCATGAAGTTGTTCATAATATTCTTTTTATTTTTTTAACATTTGTAAGATTTATAGTAATGTTTCCTCCTCATTCCTGATATTGGTAATATGTATTTGGTGTTTTCTCTTTTTTTCTTGATCAGTCTTACAAAGGGTTTAATTGTTTTATTAATCTTTTCAAATAACCAACTTTTGGCTTTATCCTTATATTTAATTTCTTTATAATGATATTTGAAAAGAAAGATAGTCTTTATGATTTCTGGTTAGAATCTATTTATTTAATGTGTATGGTTTAATTCATGATTAATCCCTTCTCACTGCTTCATGTCCTGTAATTATATTGTTCAAATCATCTATGTCCACACTAAATTTTTATCTTTTGATTTCTGAGAGGATGTTAATTTCCAGCTGTAATTGTGGATTTGTCTGTTTCTTCTTGCTAGTTTTTTCTATTGGTTTGTTGCTTTCTGTATTTGAAGCTCTTTTGTCAGTTGTACTACTGTGTTTTGTGGTTTTTATCAATATGCATTTTAGTCCTTTTCTGTTGCTTAGAAATACCTGAAACTGGGTAATTTATAAAGAAATAATATTTATAGCTTACAATTTCGGAGACTGGGAAGTCCAAAGTCCAGAGACACATCTGGTGAGGTGACTCTAAGCAATACAGGGTGTCACATGGTGAGAATGGTGGAGCAGAGAGAGCTAACCTCCTCACTGGCTGTCCTTTTAAAGCCCTCAGAACCGTGCCCATGACCACCATTAAACCATCAATGGATTAATGCATTTACTAGGGCATGGTCCTTACAATCTAATCACCTCTTCAAGTCTATTTTTCATCTACCACAATAGGACTTCCCACCCTCTTGACACTGTCACAGTGGGGACCAAGTCTCAATGAATTTGGGGGGACATCCAATCCACAGCAATATAAAACCTTATTAATACATTTCATATTAATTAAAGAATTTATTAGTCTGAAATCTTTTTACCTGACTTCTAGTTTGTCTCATGTCAGTACTGCCTCATCTACTTTACTTGCTTTTCTTTTTATTTACCTGGCATATACAGTTGACCCTTGAACAAGACAGGTTTGAACTGCATGGGTCCACTTCTACGTGAATTTTTTTCAGTAAGTATATTGGAAAATTTGTGGTTGGGTATGTCATAAATGCATAACATACAAGGGTACAAAGTTCATCGAAAGATTTGTATTCTCTTTTAATTCTATTTTTCCACAAACTTTTTGAAGTACCCTCATGTGTAACCAGACAGGTAAGTAGCCTACCTAACTGTAGGCCATTAGTAGTTAAGTAGTTAAGGTTTTAGATAGTCAAAAATTATATGTGGATTTTTGACTGTTTGGGGGTGTCGGCACCCCTAACCCCAGTGTTGTTCAAGGGCCAACTTGTATTTCTAAATTTTGTTATAGGCGTGTCTCTTGTAAACAGTGTCTATCTAAACTAGGGTAAGACTCAGACTTGTTTTTTTTAAGTATGCAAATTAAACTGTTTATAATTGTTATTACTGATGTTTTCTTTGTACCCAGCTTACTAGTTGCCTCCTACATTCTCCCACCTCCTTCTCCCCTTTCACCTCCTTCCCTCCTTTTGCCAACACCACTAGTCCTCCCTCTTCACATGTTTGCTAGCACTTCCTGTCCTGCCAGCAGGGAGAGCTTTTTGCAGAAGGCCTCTAACTTTCTTTCATTACATTTGGTATCCTCTATAGGATAAATAAAGCAGTGCTATCAAGTCAGTGCAGCACCTTTCCCCATGTAGGCTTCAAATCTTCTTTCTGAATTGATAGTATTAGATACAGTTCACAAATGAGAAAACTAATTTTACTGGAGAAATGCCTGTAGCAGAGTTACTTGTTTCTGTATCTATATATTCATAGGAAGTATGAGATCCCCATCTTGACATCTCTGCATACCATGATGTTTCAGAGCCATAGTGCAGGCTCAGTAAATGTGAGATTTTCATTTCAGTTGGTCTCCCTTATACCTTTCTCCTCCAACATGTGGAATATATATGTCATGCATTAGTAGATGAACACCTGGACAGAACTTTAAATAACAGTAAATCAGTTCAAGAGAAAGTCACTGCCTGCTTTCATTCTTTCAATTCTTTGGATTTTCATGGAGAAAGCCTCTGTGTGATTCCTTACCTCTCTCAAACACTCAAATATCCCCCTCCTCCCTTTTTGTAAACAGTTAGCTGGGCTCAAGTTCACTGCCTTGGTAGGCACAACTATTTAGCTAGAATGAAGTACTATTGTTTTGTTTTCCTTTTAATTGTTTTTTGGTTACCTAGTATTTTTTCACATTAACTATTGATTTTCCACTCAAGGTAGTGATTAATTTTTACCTTTAAAATTTTTGTTTTAAAAAATTGAATCAATTTTGAAGAAAGATATTAAATATAGTAACATAAAGGGGTATGACAGGATTGGAGAATGTGATATATATAGGAGGTTGGATGTGGCTCTGGTCGTGGTGGTATGGGAATGAGTGAAATTTGGGAGTCATTTCTCCAGCCTTCTCAGGCTTTTCAGTTATTTCTGTTTTGTACACAGTACTAACCTGTTGTTTAACAAGTATTTACTGAGTGTCTACTTTGTGTAGAGAACTATGTCCTGAGGATATGATGAGAAATGTGGTGTTCTCCACCTTGTAGTCTAGGTAGGAAAAAGGACATGTGCCTGTGAGGCACCTGGTCCAAGTGTTCTGTGTTAAGTGCTGTCAGAGCTCCGAGGTCATTGTGCTGATAGAGGAAGCAGAGGTCATATCCGCCTGGGGGCTTGAGGCCGTGGCTCATGCTTATGTTTTAACCCAGGTGCCTTTCTCCCTTCCATTTTGAATCTCTCTTCCTAAATCCACATCAGTTTTGGGGGAGAAGGGGCGTTTCTTTGTAGGCGCTACTCTGAAGTATTATATCCAGAAGGAAGAGCATCACATATCCGTCCTCAGAGGACAGAGTGGTTACCAGAGTTCTGGTTCCAGCACACCTGTTGTTAGTGGGAGAGCTATTTAATTGTTCTCAGTCCCAGTTTCTATATCTTTGTTGGTGGTGATGAAACCCAGTGTCCTTCCTGCTTCATAAGACAGTACATTTGAGAGCCAGTTGTAATATACATTTGTAATCCATCTTATTTTTACTCTGTTATTAGAATTTGAAATACTAATGGGTATGATTTTGAGGGTATTTTAGGTGTTTAATTATTTTTTCCCTATTTTTTTCTAGGTCTTGATGCAGAACTTTATTATGTGAGAAATGACCTCATTAGTCATTATGCTCTATCCTTTAACCTATTAGTACCCACTGAGACAAACTTCCTGCACTTCACTTGGCATGCGAAGTCCAAGGTAAGAAAATGGTTAACCATAGATGTCATAACAGGGTTACCCAGGCCCCAGAGGCAAGGGCTGTATTTAAGGAGTGGGCTGTCATCTGTACAAAAGGGTTGGTGGGTGGTATGCTATAACAGTGCTGGATCTTTCCAGATTTATATTTTAAATTTTGAGCCTCTTACTCTAAAATTTCTCAAATGAAATGAAGGAGGCCATTATTTAGGTGATTAGCACATGACAGAACACTTACATCCTTTCAGGCTTTTCAATCAGGGATGCAGATCTAACTTGAAAAGAGAACAGTTCGGGCTGGCCCCGTGGCTCACTTGGGAGAGTGTGGCACTGGAAGTGCCAAAGCCGTGGGTTCGGGTCCTATATAGGGATGGCCGCTGCGCTCACTGGCTGAGTGTGGTGCAGACCACACTGTGCCAAGGGTTGTGATCTCCTTACTGGTCAAAAAAAAAAAAAAAAAAAGAACAGTTGGACCTGATAATGACTGTGCTGTTATGGTGAAACCATATGGGTGGGGGTTTGGGGGAATGGTTAGATAGTTCTTTTAGACATGTTTGATAAAATAGGTGTAGTTCTTCCATTTATGGAGAAATGGTGAAAGAGAGGCACAGCAGGTACAGCCGCTCGTGTGTGTAGTGGTGAGGCTCCATCAGCTGTGAGGGACTGAGACTCCAATACTTCAAAACTTCTTGCCTGGTTTACTATTTGCTGAATTCTTTACATTTTCTCTGACTGCCTGGGTTCCTCGAACATGGTCAGTTTTCTCCTATGTCAAAGAGTGGGAGACTGAGCGTGGAGCCCAATCACCCACCACCTGCCCCAACAACCAATTTCAGTTTCTTTTATCAACATTTATTTTATTTATTTATTTAAAATTTTTATTTCCTTTTTTTTCTTTTTTTTTATTGCATCATAATTGATTATACATATTTTTTGGGTTCAACGTTGATGTATGTTGATCAAATCAATATTATTAGCATATAATTATTACAAATCATACTTATTCTTTATGTCTCTTATCCAATCTCTCCCCAGTCCCCTCTCCCTGCCCCCTCCCACCTCTGATAACCCTAGATTTCTTCTCTCCTTCTGAAAGAGTAATGGTTACTCTGTTGATTTGTTGCCTAGATGATCTGTCCAATGCTGAAAGGCATGGTCAGGTCCCCCACTATTATCATAGAGTAGATGCTTCTTCTGTCACTCTGGAATGGGCTTTGTGGAGAGAGACATCCTCTTCTTTTCTTTGGTCTCTGCTGGTGACTCTCTTTGTGTCAGTGCACTTGAGGGGCTAGTGGGCCATCTGCATGGTGGTCGTGGCATCTAGCCGCTTTTGTGGCAGCCATGGCTATTGTGGTGGCTGTGGTGGGCCGCCCACATGGAAGTGGTGTTTCTGGTGTGCTCCTTGCCTGTTGCAGGGGGAGGGGTCTGAGTAGGACTTTATTTGGAAAATAAAAATAGTCTTGCTACTAAAAATAAGTAAGAATACCTATTGTAGAGGATTTTTAAGTATTATAAAGTGGTGTCTGTTCTGATACTTGTGAGTTGTTTAAATTTGACATTTTGATATAGTTTTTTTATCTTAAGTTTTTCTACTTGGAAAACAATAATGGTTATTGAGAAAACTCAAATGCTACGGAAGTGTTTTAAGAACTGTAAGATTTTGTACACCCATAAGTAATCATTGTAATTGGTATAACTTCTTTAAGGCCCCCTTTATTTTCTTTTTTAAGCAAAAAAGGGATTTTATGATGTATGTATTGTACAGTACTTTCCCCACACCAAATAATATATCTTGGCATCTTTCCATCTCTCTACTTCACTCATTCTCTTTAATGGTTTCATAATATATTGTTTGGATATATGATGTGTTGTTATTTAAGTGCTTCATTGATGGATACATGGATTTTTAATAGTGTTTTACTATCTCAAACGAGGCTTCCCTTCACTGTTACTTATAGTTTCCTTCACTGCATTTGGCAGGCAAAATCCATGGAAAGGGATGGTGAAAACAATTGGTAGTTTATCTTTTGTTGATGTTTCTACATTTACTATCTTTTTATTCTTTATTTTGTAAATTTGTTTCTACCTTTGCTACTGATGTATACAGAAACACAAAAAATATGTGTGAATGTGTATCCATTTATGTGTGTATGAATGTGTGTATTTGTGTATGCATGTTTGTATATAGGTATAGATGTGTGTATGTACTGTATATAAATAAATTAAGAACATCTTTGTTCAGAAATTTATGCACTTATGGCAGTATTTCTGAATAATAAGTTATCACTAAGAATGAAATGGTTGCGTCAAAGAGTGTGCATGCTTAAAATTTTGATAGATATTGCCAAATTATTTCTCCTCCTCTCCCAAGATGGTACCAGTGAGCCAACATTTTTTACAGAGTGAATAAGGTTGTTTATTCTCTCTCTCTCTCATACACGATGGTACCAGTGAGCCAACATTTTTTACAGAGTGAATAAGGTTGTTTATTCTCTCTCTCTCTCATACACACACACACACACACACACACTTTTTTCCCTTGAACTGTTTGAAAGTGAATTGCAAGCATCGTGTCCCTTTATCCCTAATGCATCAGTTTGTATTTTCTAAGAACAAGGGCATTCTTCACACAACCAAAGTACAGTTATCAAAACAGGAAATTTAACATTATTATAATACTGTTATCTAATCCACAGTATTCACACTTCATCAGTTATCCCAATAATGTTGTTTATAGCTAGTTTTTCATTGTTGGTGTCTTTTTAGTTCTCTGTTAATTCCACAGCCTTTCTTTGTGTTTTTTGGCCTTGACACTTTTTGAAACATATAGGCCAGTTATTTTGTAGAATGCCCCTCTATTTGAGTTGTCTGAGGTTTCCTCATGGTTAGATTCAGGAATGTCTCTTTGGTGGTAATACCACAGAAGTGCTGTTTTTCATAGTACACATGATGTCAGTTTGTCCCATTATTGATGACATTAACTCTGACTTAGTTCACTAGATTTCTCCACTGTAAAGTTTTTCCGTTTATAATTAATAAGTAATTTGTGGGGAGATAATTTGATGCTATGTTAAAAAAAAAACAACTGTTCTCTTATCACCCTTTCAACCACTGGTGTTTGTTTCAGTGTTTAGACGAGGTTTCACTTGTTGGATGGAGGGTGGTGTGTTCCCTCACACCGGGAGAGGTAGGACCTGTACTAGATAACCATTCAGTGGACTTTTTTTTTTAAAAGAAGGAATTTAAACATTTGTGGAATGGCTGGTCTTGAATTTTAAGTTCCTGTGCAACTCTGAGAGTCAGTGTTTCTGTGAACCTGTTTCAGGCAGAGAAGCTTCTTATATTCTTCAAAAAATTGATAGATAGTTGTTTGTTACTATTTCTACCTTTGATATTGATGAATATAAAAACAAATAATACGTATTTTTTAATTAGTGTAAGATTTAGTAGACAATTCTATTGTAGGCACCTCTACTAACCTTGAGCAGAGTGTGAATATTTCTGGGTTCACTTAAGAAAAAAGAATGCTGATACATCATGAGAATGTCTTATGGGTAAGTGTATGGGTTGTGATTTGTGAATAAAAAGGCAACGTGGGAGGTGGCAGTTAGAATTGAACAGAATAGAACCTTGTCTTGCTCATTCCTTTTTAAAAATATACATATTCAGGGTTTTTATTTGGGGTGAGTTTCAGGACTTTGACACTGCTGGTAGTGGGTGCCTGAGTCTTAGGAGCCTGTCACGGGAGGCAGTTAAAGTGGAAGAGAATAGATAGAAGGGCTTAGGAGAATATGCATGTTGGAAGGGAAAGCGCTATTGGCATGGTGCATTTGGTATCAGGAGGAGCCTTGGTACAGCTCTAATTGTACTTCCATGTTGTAGAGCACAATTTCTAAACTGCTTCTTTGGCAGATATCAATACCATCTTTAGTGCACATTTGGGCTGCTACTGCTAGTGTGATATTCCTGATAAGGCAGAAGTTCCCTGACTCATTGGAAGGCATCAGCATCTATTTACATGTTCAGGCCAGAAGCCTAGAAGGGATCTTAGTCTTCTATACCTTCTAAGTCCAGTTGGTTCTCTGTCATAATTACATCTAACTTCATTTCCTACCTCTCTTGGGACCCAGTGTCTTGTCCTTTATCTGTGCCTTCATTGTTTCTTCCTAGATATGGAAATAGCCTTTTAACTGGTCTTGTATCTGGACTGACCTCTTGTTGCATCCTCCACAAAGCCACCCTAGGGTTCTCTATTGCCACCAGAATAGAGTTCTGATTTCTTAGGAGGCCTTTATGATCTGGTCCCTGCCTTTCTTTTCTGCCTCATCATTAGCCAGTCATTTAGTGGCACGTTGTCTGTTTTGTATTTTCTTGAATGCCCTGTGATCTGTCACATTGCTTCTGTTTGCTCTGCTAGAAATATCCTTTTCTTATTCTTTATTAGATTAACTCCTGTTTATCTCATAAAACTGTGACCAGGTATCACCTCTCCTCCAGCTGTGTCAGAAGCCCTCTTGTATCCACAGTGTCCTTCTCCTCTCTCATAGCCCTATTCATACTCTAAGAATATTGTAATAGTTGATTTTCTTTTATTTCTCCCTCCGAGATCCTGAGTACCTCAAAGGGTATTCCCTGTGTCTGGTATAGCACTTGGTACTGACTACAGAAGAGAAGTGCAGATAGAAGCCACAGGGCACAGCTTGCCGAATGGGGAACTTTTGAGCAGTTGGAGCTTTTCAAAATTGGAATATGCTCGTTTAGGAGTGGTGACTTTCCTGTTTCTGGAAGTGTGAGAACAGGCTGGGTACACCCGACAGTAGTTTCACAGACAGGATACTTCAGGTAATTTACTCTGAATAGAGTGAGGTTGTAATTTTGGGAAAATGAGTGGAATTCATAGATTGAATATATAGCTAAACTTATTTCACTAGTTCATTTGCAACAGGTATAAAAAGTTAGAAGAAAGTAACCATCTTATTGTTATTGTAAAAGTAAATTAATTA